CACACACACACACACACACACACACACACACACACCCTCACACACAGACACACATATTTAGATTTGCTTTATTTGCATGACAACGTATGCACACTAACGTTGTATCATACTATACACTATACATGTATTTATGCTGGTTACTCATCAGACAAACAGGATCCACCTTATACTTCTACAAAGAAACCCCGAAATAAGACCGACAGGAAGAATGCTAATGAACGATGCCCCGTGCAAGAGTAAGTTTTCTTGGCTGTAGGTGCCCGATTCCTTTTCTTTTTTTTTTATTGGGAGGACGGGGGAGGGGGTAGTGTTAATGTAAGTTTTAATTTTCGGCGCTTGTTTACAAATAACTTACATCTCAAATAGGTTGAAATAGGTCGTACAGATATTAGAGATGTCACCAGAGAGTAATAATAATATAGAAAAGTAGAGATAAAGGACAATAGACTTTAGACAGGAATGAAGAAGCAAACCACACCAAAGTACCCCCCTCCCCAAATTGAGTGTGGGGGGGGGGGGGTAGTGTAAGCGAGTGTCCACTAGCATCACGATTTAATGGCATCGTTTGGGTGGTTGGTTACGTTTTGTTATTTTTCTTTTTTTTGTTTTATTGTCGGACGAATGGTGTTAGTGTCAGTAGAGGGTTTTCAGGCAAAGTTAGTAGCGAAGCAGAATATCTCAAAAATCAAATAGAATCTAGAGTAGCCTACTTAAAGGGTAAACTGAAATTTCGAGATTTTTTAAGGGGATGGAGGTGAGGGTTGGGTGATCTCAACAACACCCAGGTAAGCCTACTACCATACTCTCAGTGCAACGCAGATTTATTTTATCATTTATCTTTTTATTCACATTTATGTCCCGATACCCAGATGGAAAAAGTAGGACCCTTTGCGAAAAAAACAGCCAAAAAGAATATCACAAAAGGTGTTAGTGTTATAATAAAGTATGCCTCCAATTGGCTCGTTTATTTTTCTTCCTATGTTTCTCTTCCTCTTTTTTTCATCTCAATCTCAGTATGTTTAGAACATTACCAACGGTTAAATCTTTTTTAAAGTCTAAGCTGCAAAATGGTGTTAGCCAGGTCGTCGATGAAATAAAACGTGCTTTGAGATAAGATAAGATAAAGAGACGAGACGAGATGAGATAAGCTAAGACGAGACGAGTGATGATGTGAGGTGAGGTGAGGTGAGGTGAGGTGAGGTGAGGTGAGATAAGATAAGACGTTGATACCACAAAGAAAAATTTACAGATACTACTTAGACTATCTAATCTAATAGTTGTTTATTAAAATTGACATCTTCAGGTGTTGTAATGGAGAGCTTCCACTTGAGGAGCAGGAGAGAGCCAGCACAGACCAGATAGCGCCGGGCGACCAATCTGAATGCCAGAACTCAGAGAAGTATTACAACGTAAGTCTGTCGAGCGAACAGCAAGTTAAGACAGATAGTCACACGCTGGAATCAACAAGTTCCAAACCACAAACTGGTGAGGGAAAGTCTGGTTCAAACAACGGTAAGGAATCATTGCTTGAGTTGGGTGTGAAATCTCTTCGTAACGACAACATTCAAAACGTTTTTGAGCTAGAAAGCTCGGGATCAGTCTCAAATAAAAACAACGTTGACCTCGGTAGGCCTATATTGTCATTTCCGAGAGAAACGAACGCCTTAGGACTAGCAGAGAAACCAGACCAGCATGTTGAAGCTCCTGAGAATACGAAGAGTACGAAGCTGGAAGAGCGCCGAGACTTGGGAGCCCAGCCAGAGATGTTCCGAAAGCAAACGGTTTGTCTGTCAGCAGACGCCGCTCACGCCCTTGTCGGGGATATCTCAACAACTATTGTCGCACAGCAGAAACTTAGTCCGTCTTGTAGCGAAACTAAAACCGTTTCAGGTGATGTGCCCAAGCCTATCCTTGCTCGGGATGCTAAGTTTATGAACCAGGGTCAAGACGAAAGTCAGTCTCTCGGTACTGAAAATACGACAAGAGAACTGAACTTTGAGGGCGTGAAGGGGATCGCTAAATTATCTCCAGAAGCTGTCGATGAGAAGGACGAAGAGACTGGGGTTACTTCACGTGGATCTGAACCTGCCAAATACCCAGCACAGATGTTGACCACACGACATTCTGAAGACATAAACGTGACTTGCATGAGCCAGAACGGCGAGGAAAACAAAGCAGACAAGGAACAACGTAACGCCGACGTGGAAACATGCTTGACCATGTCACAGCGAGAGACTAAGAGGAAATTCAAACCTCCAGAGTGCACCACCACTCAGCACCAACTTCCCCACAAAGAAAACAGTAGTTGTGTGAAAACATCGCTGCAGTCCTCGCAGAAAAGAAAAAGAAAATGCAACAGCAGCTCAGATGTTCTCGGCGATCTTACCAACAACAGGGCGTCAATCTACGCAGAGGGGTCGGCTTCAAACAACGGTAAGGAATCATTGCTTGAGTTGGATTTGAAATCTCTTCCAAACGACAACACCCAAATGGTTCTAGAATGCTCGGGGTCAGTCTCAAGGAACAAGAATGCAGATAACTGTATACCATTTAATGTAGAAACTACACCTAACGCCTTACCAGAGAGTTGTTGTAGAGCCATCAGCGGTGACAGTGTTACTGTTACAGATACAGCGGTTCCCCGGGACGAAAAGACTGGTTTTGATGAAGAAGGAACAGAGACCCAGCGAGACGAGTGGACTGGGTTGACGGGAGAGATGTGCATGCCAGAGGGTGAGATCCAGCCACAGAGACAGTCGTACCACACACGGGCCGCAGAGGTAGGAGTTACCAACACAACACAGAGACAGTCACAGACCAGCTATGCCGATTGTCCGGAGAAAGAAGTAGACCTAGACCCCACAAAACCACCAGCTTCAGTTCAAACAGCAGAAAACGTTGATAGTGGGAAAGAATTTCACAGTGAAGTCAATACTTTAGCGCAAGGAGGAAAGGAAGTATCTGTTGTTTCCCTGACACTAAGCAGTGGGCGAATTCATCTGTTGACTAGCCAATCTCACGACAATAATAATGAGGAAATTCTTGAGCCGTTATCTGACAGCAAACC